ACTGACAGTACTGCCCAAATTTAGTAAAAAAAAACGCAACTGGTGAAACGGAAGAGCTTCACAGGCGATGGACGCAGGGCTCTTTGGCAACGACCGCATAGAGGTCAAAATACGCGTTCTATTTTTACGCGTTAAATTTGGCTCTTCCGTTTCGCCCCTCCGTAATGTTCTACTTTCGCAGCCTAATCGCAGGTTTTTCGAAAAACGTCGAAAAAACACAAGAATTAGTAGAAATGTTCGTGTTTTGGGCGGATTATTGATGGAGAATAATGTCTTTATTACAAAAATGCTGAAAAACCGTGAGTTGTTGCCTTAGTTATTTTTTTATTGGCAAAAAACTGCGAACTCGACAAATTTGGTTGCACAACTTCCCTTTATCATATACACCCAGCGACACCGATGCCAGCTGACTGTGTACAAAACTGGTAGGAGGTAATACATTTGGGGCGAAAGTATTCAAAAATCAGTTTTGGGATGTTGCAATGGCAGTGGTGGGCCAGGATTTTTTTCCAATTAGTGACGGCACGACCTACCTGTGAAGTTTGAACAAAACCAGCCGAGCCGTTGCTGGTGAAAAGTTACCCCAACTTTGGGGTCAAATTTCTCGGTAATGAAAACAGATATCAAAAATTCAAATAGTAACTTTGTGCCCACACTCAAGCTGAGTAGAATGAGCTGTCTGAAGTGTTTTATCAAATTTACATTTGGCGCGAAGCTATCCAAAAATCAGTTTTTTGGCTGTTGCTATGGCAACAGTGGGCCAACAATTTTTTTCAGATTTTTCCTTATAACTAGGGTGAAGGTGTGACCTACCTGCCAAGTTTGAAAGAAATCGGCTAAGCCAAAAAATCACAGAAGAAATCATACGTGAAAACACTGGAAATGTACACACACAGACACATACACACACACACAAAACAAAAGTGATTACAGTATAAGGGCAATCCTAGCGGAGCGGATCGCCAACAAAAGTGATTATAAGGGCAATCCTAGCGGAGCGGATCGCCAGAATGAGCTATGTCTGAAGTGTTTTATCCCAAATTTGTAGGAGGAGATACATTTGGCGCGAAGCTATCCAAAAATCAGGTTTTTGGCTGTTGCTATGGCAACGGTGGGCCAAAATTTTTTTACAAATTTTTCCTAATAACTAGGGTGAAGGTGTGACCTACCTGCCAAGTTTGAAGGAAATCGGCCAAGCCAAAAAAATCACAGAAGAAATCATACGTGAAAACACTGGAAATGTACACACACAGACACACACAAAACAACAAAAGTGATTATAAGGGCAATCCTAGCGGAGCGGATCGCCAACAAAAGTGATTATAAGGGCAATCCTAGCAGAGCGGATCGCCAGAATGAGCTATGTCTGAAGTGTTTTATCCCAAATTTGTAGGAGGAGATACATTTGGCGCGAAGCTATCAAAAAATCAGTTTTTTGGCTGTTGCTATGGCAACGGTGGGCCAAAATTTTTTTCCAAATTTTTCCTAATAACTAGGGTGAAGGTGTGACCTACCTGCCAAATTTGAACGAAATCGGCCAAGCCAAAAAAATCACAGAAGAAATCATACGTGAAAACACTGGAAATGTACACACACAGACACACACAAAACAACAAAAGTGATTATAAGGGCAATCCTAGCGGAGCGGATCGCCAACAAAAGTGATTATAAGGGCAATCCTAGCGGAGGGGGTTGCCAAAATGACACAAGTGATTATAAACGCAATCCTAGCGGAGCGTATCACCAACAAAAGAGATTATAAGGGCAATCCTAGCGAAGCTGTTCGCCAATAATTAATATTTCATTTTTTTAGTGTATTTTTAATTTTATTTATTAAAATATGTGTATCTTGAATTTTATTTATTTATAAAATTAAAGATACACTACAGATTACTATCTAATTTGGGTGGGAATTGCCAAACCAATTTATAAAATTATAAACAAATATTTTCGTAAATAACGCTGACTGCAAAATACGCCCTTGAGAAGTGTTAGAGACGAAATATTTATATTGCAATTTCTTTCAATTTAATTAGTTGTATTGCAATGCATTAGTAATAATGTAAATATATATATATATATATATATATATATATATATATACATTTCTTTATTTCATTGTTGAGACTGAGTTATATATTTGTTATGTACTATAATTTATCTATATTGGAAAATGGTTATGGGGATTATTAATTTTAATAAGCAATATTCAACTATCCTTTGCAATAAGATCATAATGATAATGTTTCTTGGTCTTTGAAACTATGGGCATTATCAGAGCATGGGTCTTATTTTGGAACTCCTGCCAGAGCAACTGCACAAATCATAAGGGCAAATTAATAGCTTCTAAGGATGGTATTCCCAGGATAGCGCAAGTTGTTGAAGAAACATAAAACTTTGATTCTCAACAACGATGAAAGGACCAGTTACTAGGACAAAGACCTACTCCCCGCAAGACCCATTCAATACGAAACCACTCACCGCGAAAGCCACTCACTGCGAAGCTACTAGTGTTATAACAAGTATTGTTTTAGCATCTTTGTTTGTTGGTTATGTCAAAACTACTTGCACATTTTGTACATGATATGTTCCGGTATATGAAAAGATGAACATGATAGTACGATAATAATGTAGGTTATTTTTTATTTCATAGACATTCTTTAATGAACAAGTGCTGGCAGATGGAGCAAAAACAACGACCTTCTTTCCATGAATTAACAGAGCGTCTAAAAATATTACAGAAAAACCTAGAACTACAGGTACATTACATCTTGTTGTTTTTACATACATATAATATTGAAAAAAACAAAACACAACAAAAACAATTTTGGAATCAGCATATAACATATTTTTCTTCAAACACATTGCAATATTCTATTGAGCACAGTACTGTAAATCTATAATACCAACCACTTTTGTGATTTGAATATTAAAATATTAATATTTACATCAGGTCGAACGTGCTAGGAAATATGTAAATGGAAGTTTGTCAGTACTTGCCGAAGATTACACACAATGGGATGATTATAAAGTTACATTATTTGAAGATCTTATTTTGTGTAATATTGAAAAGGTATGTAAATCTCACCATTGTCAACCATCAAGGTGTCAAACACGTGTACCATCTGAATCAACACACTGACATACATGCATGACCATTTCAAGCCTTAGTCTTTGTTAATTGAAATATTAATATATATGTGTGGTGTGTTGTGATCACGTACATACATATCAAATAAATTGTATTGTTATATTATCGGCAATAGCCTCTTCCCCAGTCTCGACTCATGGCTGTTCAATATGCTGGTGCCATATTTCCATCAAACCACGCTGCATCTAAATATGTTCTACTGCGAGGAGCCGGCGATGCGTAAGTATTGTTAAACTCCATTTTTCAAAAAAGTACCATGATATTATAGATTTTTTTTTTTATATATTTGAATTGTATGCGCTGTCAAGCCACAAGTTGTAAACTGGAGACAATATTGATAGCAAATTGCATTAAACATTGGTAGATTAACAGTAGGAACACAATAACATGTAATTTATTCAAATCATTATCTAAACAGGGTAAAAATAGTCCAAAACGAAGCACTGGATATATTAAGAGAACAAACTAAAAAGGACGGTGAAGAAAAAGAAAACTTGTTCCCAGAGTTTTCCCAACTAGTGAATTTTGTGAGTGTTAGGGTAAGTTGTATACGGTGTACATATATTCAACTAGAACTACAAATTATATAAAATAATATAAATTATAGATATTGTCCAATATTAGTGAAAAATAAAACAGTGAACAGGAGTGCGTGAACTAATACAAATACAAACTTTTGACAACTTTTTAGTTCCCGTTCGGACACAGTTCAAAAATGGGGACTTGTGTTTTAACCGCCATGTGTCCGTGCGTTTGTGTGTCTGTGCATGCATCCGGACCTGTATCTTAGAAATGCCTGGACCATTCACAGTCAAACATCACACATACATCATACATGATATTATACATATGCACATCAATTGCGGCCATTTTTGTTCCAAAAATCATAAAATCAAGCATTTCTCGGCTGTTTACAGATGGATTTTGTTCAAACTTGGTATATACGTTGAACATTATAGGACTTTGATGCACATCATATTGTTTTTCAGATAAGATTAAAAATGGCCGACTGGTGGCCATTTTGTTTTATTGAATGTGGTTCTTGTGCCATGTCTCTTACTTGCTTTGACTGATTATGTTCAAACTTCAAATATTCATTATACATCATGTCATAGATATATTGGTTTGACGATTCTATTAAAAATTGCTGAATGGTGGCCATTTTTGTGCTAAAAAAATCATCAAATATCAAGCATTTCTGGCATTTCTGGATGGATTTGGTTCAAACTTGGTACATACATTAGACATTATGGGTTTCTGATGCACATCATTTTATTTTTCAGATCAAATTCAGAATGGCTGACCAGCTGTCATTTTGTTTTAATGAATGGGCTTCTAGAGCCACATCTCTGACATGCTTTGACTGATTATGTTCAAATTTTATATATTCATTACATGTATTCGAAATGGCTGATTTTGTTTTAATTAATGCTGTTCCAGAGCAATATCACTCAATACTCGTTTGACGATCAGATGCAAATGTCAATCATTTTAATGTTAAACAATCATCATAATCATATTTCTGACATGTTTATGTTCCAGCTATATGACTATAAACAAAACTATATATCTTAAATTTGATAACTAACAGGGACTGTGCCATCCATGGCTTGTTTATTATAGGGGTGAACACAGCTGTCTAATCTTTGAAATATCTGTTGCTATCACAACGTAATGGTCTATGGTAAAAACTGAATTATGGAAAAGAGCATGACTTCAGAATAAATCTTATATTTTGTTTGAATGTCTATTAATAGAAGTGCATACATGTGTACGAACATCCTTTTCTTTCAGGCAGGAGAAAAGCTGACTGATGCGACTATAAAATCCAAGGGACCATTGGGAACATTTCATATTCCATTCACACCAGCTGCATATGAGAAAGTGAGTCAACATTCTCTTGAGTATTCTAAAGTAATTTATAATATAAATAAATTTGAGCTAAATTTGTCAGTAGAACTGATTATTTTCCCTAAAAGCATTTAGTATTTCTTGTGATATAGATTATTGTTTTTTACACATTTTTGTAGGTGCTTTAAGATTAAGATTGCAGGAAGATGTTTTTGAATGATGTGTTTTTGGTGCAGTCGGGGATGAAATATCTGAATAGAACGATCGCATGGATATCTTATTTTAACCATATTGTCGATATCACAATAAAGTGATTTGTGTACTGTAAAATGACTAATTTTCACTGGGTTTAAATTTCACTGATTTACCATTTCAGGCATATTCAGTGGGTTTTAAATTCACGGTTTCGTCAATTAGATAATGTGTTCTATGCTAAATTTTACATATTCACTGTGTTTTAATTTAGCGCATTTTTCCAGTCAGCGAAATAAGCTAAATTAAAACCCAGTGAATAATTACCCCCTTTACACTAAATATTTAGATGTCACCTTGGCCAGTATGAATATAGTTTCATATTAAATACAGAAAGCACATTTATTTTATTGCATGGATTCTATTTTTTCAGATAACTATTTATCTAAGAATGTGCTTGGCATATGAGTCTGGTACTAATCCTCATGTAATACACCCTGAACAAATGAATCAACAAGGACCAGTATTAAGCAAGCGGATAAATCAACTATTAGACGACAATGACGGAAGTCTATCTGAAGGTCCAATACCTTTGTATTTTGGTATGCTAAGACAGTACATAGCAGCTGTAGGTGGGTCAGCAACTATGTACAGAATGTTAGAGTTGGTTGCTGCTGCCCCTGAGAGATTGGCACCACAATTCTTTGATAAGTTAGATCAACTCAAGGCAAGTATATCTTTACAAATACAACAGTGCTCTTCGTACACATTTTATTTTTTTAATCCCTCTTAGTGTTTATGTACACTTGGTAATGAATATTTTGTCATAATTATTTTGGTGAAGGGTACATGCATAGTGTAATTGTATTTTCTAATGTTTCCAGGTTTTGGTTAGCTCCGAAAATGCAGATATGAGAATGTATGCAGCTGAATTGTACGCCATTGTGTTGTCATTAATGGACAAACAAGTTTTACTCACAAGTATACAAACCCTCACCCATGATCTGGACAATCAGGTAAGTGAATGAATTACACTTATATTAGCTGTGTTTACATGCATACATTCTCAATCATAATTAATACGAATCAATACAGTAAAAAAAATGGCATGTGCTGCTTGTACATCATGTCTTGGAAAGAGTTCATTTAAACAGAACGACCTTTACCAATGACAGTAACACTATTTTCATATTATTCAGAATTTGGAGGTTCAGCATGGCTCAGAACTGGCATTAGGATTTGTAATTGGAAGGTACTTGCAGAAAAGAGGTCGACTGGCTAGCCATGAGAACATAGAACACATGATTGGGGATTCTAGCAATGAAGACATCATTTTTACCGAGGCAGTAAAAGCAATAGGTAATGTCTGTCCATAGTGAAAATTGTTGTTATGACAACACTATTTTGCACGATTAGATGAAGCAGCAACACCTTGTTGGTCTGATTCGACTGCAACATGAATCTGAACTAGAAAAACGCCTTCTGATTGGCTGTATGTATAACTGATTTGATATAATTGATGTGGTAATTCTTGAATTTATAAGTCATTATTAGAGATTAAGACTCAAGATATTGATTGCGTAAACTGCGTTATTCTAATTTACGTACATGTACTGCACTCTAAAGAATGGAATGACGCACAAGACATATTAACCAACTGTTAAATCACAATGAATATCAAAATGAATCACACAATGGATACGAATACATGCACCCCAACATATTCAAACATTGGAATGAAACATTGGGATTATGAGCTTAACAATGTGTACCTTTTAACATAAATTTGTACTAGTATATATATATATTTTTGTCACATATTAAATTATACAGTGCTTACACTTTACCCACAATGCTGTGCAAAACACTTGACACTGGTACTACAATACACACACATGTACTCCATGTGACATAATAATACTTCATTGGTGATAGAATCTGAATCTATTATAATATATTTCAGTTGTCAAATTGGACAGCGTTATTGTTATGCTAGTAGAAGGTGCCTGTCTGGCATTGGGTGAGATTGGAAGAAATGGACCACTACCTTTATTAAATGGTATAGACAATATAAGTAGATCGAAACAGATTCAACAAGATGAAGATCCTCAAGGTAATGAGGTTGAAGAAATAACAAAGCTACATGTCATCCAGATTTTAATGAGCAAGGTTTTATCAGAAGATGACGTAATTCAGGTATTATATTTTACGTAATCTATAGTATAACGTTGATTTATTCGTGGATTTAGATGACAAGTTTGTAATAGATTCACTAACTGTCTATGTCTATCTGTCTATGTACATGTATATCATTATTTTATAACTGCAGGTGAAAGAGAGAGCTGCCATGTCTTTGGCATACCAGACTGTTGGAGATCCCCACTTCTCTTATCGAAATATTATTATACAAGGGTTCTTAGATAGTACAGATGTATGTACACATTATTACACTTATCATATACATTCATTGTATATTCTGTCTTAGTTACATTACCTCGATACTATATAGTTACATTACCTCGATACTATATAGTTACATTACCTCGATACTATATAGTTACATTACCTCGATATTATATAGTTACATTACCTCGATACTATATAGTTACATTACCTCGATACTATATAGTTACATTACCTCCATACTAAATAGTTACATTACCTCCATACTAAATAGTTACATTACCTCCATACTATATAGTTACTTTACCTCGATACTAAATAGTTACATTACCTCCATACTATATAGTTACATTACCTCCATACTATATAGTTACATTACCTCCATACTATATAGTTACATTAGTTACAATGCTTTGATACTACGGAACATATATTTATAACTGTCACCAGATTCATGTACAACCAAGAACAGAACACATTGCTTTGCACTTTGCTATTGGGGAAGCATTGGCAACCACTTTACAAGGTCCCAATTCCGCCTATGCTGGAGATATTTGGAGAACAGCAGTAGAAGACCGTGGCTCTTTAGAACCAATCAGTGACGACATTGACTGGCTAATGAATGCGTTGGTTGAAAAATATATACAAGCTGTACCCGAAGAACAAATAAAGGTAATATCACATAGTTTCGTTACAGGACTAGTAAAAGTAACATGCACCACTGACACATACTAATGTGGTACATAGGTGATGGTTAATGTTTCTAATATGTGTTTATGTACTGTTTGAAGAGTGTTACTGTGTCTGTATTCAATTTTATTTACTATACGTTGCTTTCTAATGAAACTTTAACCACGGGCATCTAATATAGAATATCACGTGACAAATACAGCTAAGAACATGTGGTCAAATTCTAGCATTCCCGAAATAACCACACAAACATTTGAAATTACTATTTCATAATGCATTTCCTGATAATCAATTTGTATTCATGAAAAATAACGTAACATGATTCTGTGTGAATGACCAAGGTTATAGCAATATTACTCATGTTTTAACAATGTGGTGAGGTGACACTGACCTGGTAGATAATTCTCTGGGCTGCATGTATTGGTGATAAATGTATAAATCTACATGTCATTTACCAGGGCTATGGTGATTATGAGGGTGAAATGGATCCAAGCTATTTAGTAAGTATTGCTGCTCTGCACTGGTATTATTGTGCAGTGTTCGCTTTACTGAATGCAATTATCGCTCAAACTAATTATTCCATGTTTGTAAGATTGTTGAAATTATGTCCAGTACGTATTATAGTTATACATGTAGTAACACCTAAATATATAAGTGGAAGTAATTGTTTGGTATCCGTGCACATACTAATATCAAGTGTTTTATAATCTAACTGTACATTTATTTTATTTTAACATTTGCATTTTATTTTATTGCACTAAAGCAAATGGGATCCTTGAGAGAGGTAATATACTGGTTAATTGCATATTAGAAATATGTTGTCTTGTCCAATAGTGTTTAGTACATTACTAAACTAATAAACTAATATTATTATAATAATATTCTTTCTTAGGATGTTTCATACGAATGTTGAGAATATTTAATGTTCACACTAACATTTTAAAGCATGATTTTCCCTACTGTGTCTTCACATCTTTTATAGTGTTGGTTATCACTATGGTAACAGAATGTTTCACTATTGATTATTTAACTCATAAAATGGAAATCATTCATTTCAATTTAAATAAGTACAGCATGTTAGTCTAAAGTCATCTATATGTCCATCGTTGGAACTTGCCGGGCCTGTCCTAAGTTCCGTAAATCCACGTTAATCCAAAAGAAATAGCAATGTTTTTGTTGTAACATTTGTTCATGTGTGGAAATAGTGTATGGTCTGTATTACATGCGTCTTGCACATATATGCGTATATTTCAGCCTTGAAAATTGAATACAAAATCTAGAACGTGGGTAAATTGTGACCTCTCAAAACAGCTATTTTTTGTGCAAGCATATTGTAATGAGGTTATAAACGGTACGCTCGGGTATATGATAACTACCAAATACCCTTGCTTGCTATTTCTAATCTCTTATTAGATAAGGCTACTTGCATAATCCCTGCATGCCATAAAGATCCCATTTAAATAATTCAAGTATGGAATATACATGCATCAATAGGATGGACTACAAAGGTCATGGAAAGGTCAGACATGCAATTGTATCCAAGAGGCCCAAACCATGTCATGCCTACTCAACATATACACAATGCCACCGAAGACAGCTCATCATAAATAACATTTAAAAATTATATTTAGTGATTTTGAATCCAAGAGACGTGTAGAAACATAATGAAACAAAATAGCCGCCAGGTGGTCATCAGGAATCCAATCTTGTTTTAAAAAATAATAGTTTGTACCGGTATCATAAGTTTTATTAAACTGATATATAAAATAGACGCATATTGAATTATAATATATATGTAGCAACTATGAACATAACTGGCTAATGCATACCAGAGAGATAGGAATATAATAAGTCAGATTAAAATATATTATAAATGTTTTATGTGTCCCAATTCAACTACACAAGAATGTGCGTCAATTTTGTACATCGTGGAGAAACATTCAAAAACAAATGTTGACATTTCCTGATCTCTGTTTAAAAACACCTCACATAAGTAATTATGGGTTTTCAAATGCATAGATTCTATAAGTAAACAATAACATGTGAAATGTTGAAGGTTGCCAGTACTGTTTAGTACCTTAATCCACAATTTACATCCCTCTGATTTGTAGACTGATTTACTCAAAAGCTGGTCAGCTTCTCAGATAACTGATCGAGTTGGACATACAACCGACAAGATGCGTTTAACTTGGGGGGAGGGAGGGAGGGATTAAAATGTCTTTGTACGTATTTTGATGTGTTGTAATTTGCCAATGGGATTTATTCATATTTTACGTTCAAAATTATTAATAACCGTGCATAAATGAAAGCTTAAAAGAATTTAGTCAGTCAATGCATATCCAAGAAATATCTCCGAATAGACTGAATCAAATTGGTAGCTTCCGTCCTTCCCCAACCCTGACAATTCTTGCAAAAACCTACATATACCTTATCATCTGTTTCCACAGTGACCACGAAATGGTGGTCGATCACGATAAACATCAAATGACTGCAATCACTGACAGCAACCTCATTGCAATGATTTGATCATGGTCGTTCATGGTCAAGTAAAAACAATGTTAAATGTGGTTCAGAGGCAGCAGCACCAAATTTTGCATGGATGGATGACATCTGCTCATCAGCCTTGCACCGCAGGCGCGACCTTACCAGGGGGGTCCAGGGGCATGCTCCCCCTTAAAAATTTTTAAATATAGACCCTCTGAAGCAAGTTTTTGGGGAGCAAATTTTGCTGACACATTTTCTTCGAGGGAACGATCCCTCTGTGCCACCTCTACTGTGGTTGGATGCTGACTATTATCAAGCAAATTGCGCAATGGTGACGTATACACATGTGTATTCGTGATATTGGAGCAGAGCATTGTAAGAAAACATAGGAATTATAAATACAAATCAAACAATACCGACGGGTTAAAATGAACGGTTAATTCAAAGAATTTGAAATTACTTATTTTTAGACCATAAACCGAGTGTTTGGACCGATCATGAATGACCGTGTTATGACGATCAAGTACTTCCGTCAATATACTGTTCACAATCCATCATGGTCGATCCCTAGGGGGCAATCGTAGTCATTGTCGTGGTCAAAAATATGGTTAATCACGATAAATCACGTTTCGACACGCAATATATCTGTCTTTATTTAAATATCTGCTTTTAATGAAGATGATATTTACACTGGTGCACCCAATATTGTAATGAATCTCATGTCACTCTTCCACCAATGAGGCACGTAAATGTCGTAGCAGTAAGTGACTGATTCTTTATTTAAAACCAATGGTGAAAGCAATATCTTTTTTCCCTTATTCATTCACAATATACATTTTTTTAAATTCAAGGCTGTCTGTATATGGCTATTAATATTGGTAGAACATTTCAGAACGCATCCTGCTATTGTGGTGAGTCATTCTAAAAGTAAATATACATAACTAAGGTATTGTGCTGGGCTGTATGTACATATACACATTGTTAATCATTTGCAAAATGGATTATGAGGAAGGGTATCGATTGTTTGATTGTTAATTCAATACTCCATAATTTATGATTATTTCAGTCACGACTTCAAGCAATACAGGAAACAGTAACAAGCATGATGTCACACTGGGAAGGTAATATACTAGAACTGCAACTGCAACATTTGATACTTCTATCTCTCATGTAAACTAATTTGAATATTCTAGATTATTATTGAGGCCATGTGTCTTTGTGTTTATGTAATACTGGATACAAAGGAGTAAACAACACGCATCTAAGTATGCATTTTTATCAATGAGCCTTGTTGTGACTTGCAAAGTTTGGATTTTGACGGAATTAATACTTTTTGTCAACTCTTGACAAATACGACAATGAATCTTATTTGATCACGCACTTCAGACGGAGTGACAAACAATGTCAAACATTTGATTTGTTGTGGTTTTGGAAGCAAACTGTTTGCAAAACATTAGAATGCTGTTTTCAATATCACATGGTATACATTGAAATTAAATGACATTGTAAACGTTAATTAATTGTGGGAAATATGTAATTAAATTTGAGTGGCATAGGATTCATTTTGGTAAATAAATTTATAACGAGAGAAAAAGTCAGAATCATTTTGAATATCACCATCACTAGCAATAAACAATTATCAACGATTATCATCTCATCAGAGAAAGGATTATTATTTTTCAGAAACCGGAGTGACATCACAGTTATCACCACTAGTGCAATCTAGAATGGTATCTGCCCTACAACTGATGAAACCAACTGTATCGGTAATGAAACGAGAGAAAATGATAACAGTACGACTGACGGCAGAAAGACACTATCATAGTGAGGTTAAAATTCAGATTAACAGACGAACCTCATCGACCAGAAAGGGAGTGACGTCAACACAGCAAGAGCATGCATTACAAGACTCTGCAGCTTTGCAGCAAGTAGAAGAAATGGCTCAAATTGCTACCGAAGAAATGCCATTGCAGGATATGCCTTCTTCAGCATCATCTTCACCAAGTTTATCTGACGAAGATAATAATTCTAAAACTACACACTTTTGAAACAACTTGTAATATTCCCATGAGTTATAAGATAAATATACTTCTT